TTTGCCTTTAGCAAGAGCTGACTTTGGCTTAAGTGAACTGGGAATGCATTAATGTACGAAAATAGTCTCTGGTAAAATTTTCTTAGTGTGAATTTGTGAGGCTTCGTGTAGAGGTTTCTGGTGAGTCCAATTAGATAACGCTTCATTTGCAACTAAATTCTAACAGGATATTTAATCCTGCAGGTTAGCCACGTAAAAGAATCCATATCAATATCAGTTTACTAAATTCTATTGTTGGTCTAATTGAATGTTTCAATATATTGGTTATGTTAAAATTTAAAACCAAACCAGCCTATTCATTCTTCCTCTAAATTCATTACACGGTGTAAGTCATTTATGTTCCAATCACAATGAAGATCAGCCAAAATAACTGATACTACTTGAGGTTGCAAGTACTCTTCATCGTTCGAGCTCACAGACTCAAAGGTTTTCTAGATGGCTATTACCCTAAACCAACTAGGGTCGGTGAAGTTGATGTTTGGAAAACCCTATCTGATGGCACCAACAGTTCCTCAACTTTTATCCTAATTTTTGTTGATATTTAGAAATCCTAATTCTATATCACCAAGAGAAATAAAATCACGGTTAAAAAAATAAATATACAAGAAACACAATATTTATAGAGGTTTGCCTCAAGACTACGTCCTCCTAAAAAACAATTGATCTTAAGCAACATTTTATCACCAAATCCATGTTTAGCAAAATGCATTTGCCTTTGAAAACAAGCAGCAAAGGTTCTCTTTCAATTTGAGACTATTTTTCTGAAGATGCAAGAGGTTGTTGATAATTATTGTCAGCTGTTGGTCAACACATTGATGACGAAGAATTACTTCAATACAATCATGGTAGCTTACAACAAGAATATGATGTCATTGTGAATTTAAGTTCCACCGAGTATGATGTCTCGTTTTCGACATTGAATACAAAAGTCCTCTTATAAATCTGGTTTAAAGCTCATGCACCAAGCTCGATTTCGTACATATGTATATTTTATTGACTAAGTATATATGAAATTTTCCTATGAAGGCTAAGTCTGACCTGCTTCCTATCTTTACCTTAATCTGATCAACTTCCTATCTTAACCTTAGTTCAAAAACTAGTTTAGAGATCGTTTTTATATACGGTGGGGGAATCCAAACCCCCATCAGCCTTCCTTGGTGGATCCTGATAATCCACTAAGGCTGTGCTGATGTTTGCTTAAAAAAGAAAAAATGCGGCTAGGGTGGGGATATCGTTCTTACAGCTTTTGCTATCCAAACTTGAATAAGTGCTTAAACAGCTTTGGCTGCATACTCACCAACAAAACGCAGCAAGGCTAAGAGAAAACACAGACATATATAATCAAATTACTTGGCCTGTCGGATGATTAATTTTGTCACGGTTGTATTCCCAATTAACACATTGCCTTCCCCAAGTACTTCAAATTTTTATCCTTTTGAAATAGTATTCGATCAAACACCTCAATACAAATTCTTTAAGACCTTCGGATGCTTCTATTACCTCGTCTCAGACCTTATAATGCGCAGATTTTCATTCTATAAAATGTGTTTTTATTGCTTAGCACATAAAGGGACGGATTGGGTGGGGTGGGGGGGGCGGGACCGGTCTGTAGAAAAAAAAAATTTATGTAAAAAAAAATTTTTGTGTAATTTTTTTTTTTTTACTTATTAGCCCGACTTGTAATCCGTCCCTAAATTAAAAGGTACAATGACTTCATCCTTCAGGTAGAAAATATATTCCTAAAAGTGTCAGTTTTGATGAGTCTTTTCCTTCCATTCTCTTTCGGTTTTTCATCATAGATAGTTTTTCAGGTCCACTCTTCATCGCATGATCAGTCACTCGACTAAATCCCACTCGAATTGTATACTAAAATGTAAAACGAGATCAAAAAATAGTGGGGTGTTTCATGCCCAAGCACACGCATATTCAATAATAGCTAGAGAGTCGATAATTAAATTTGGATAGTTGAGGGACGATACTTCGAATTAGTGCTCTCTTTTTCGTCGTTGAACGTTTACATATCCATAGGAATACTATGCCTTTGGGTTTCTGCAAAGGAACTGCTTCTAATAACTGACTCAACCCATACATAAAAGTCAACATGTGTCAAAATGTTTGTTAATAAGGAAAAAGACGTTCAACAAAGACAGGGAAAACCTCTATGTTTATCAGTGTATAACCTTGGATATATAAAGTTTCCAATGGAATCTCTTTATAAAGAAGATAAAGGGGTTGTGTCACAACACTTTTGATAAATTTAAGTTAAGTAGATTTTGACAAAAGTTAATCAAATATGTGAATTAAAGTTTCACTAGTTAAAAAATTGATAAAATTTTATGAAACAAGGGTAAAGAAAATTGATAAAAGCTATGTAGTGATTTTCTTATGATCTGTTCATAAAGTACCTAATTCGGCTAAGTATATAGATCAAAATCGGCAAAAAAACCACTGACTCAATCTTGACAGAATATGGATGTACATATGAAAGGATGGGCCAGTTTCATTTTTCAAAATAGTGATAGACTAAGCAGCCACGAAAAGATTTATTAGTAGATTGATAGATCACTTCAAAACGACATATACATCGCACCTACTAGATAAAGTAAAATTTCTGCGTTTCCACCAAACTAGTCTTTGATGTCCATGAATCCATCAATTTTGTGTGACTGGAAAGCATGATCTGAATTGTCAGGTGGAGGGTTTCCTGGATCGTGGCCTGGATTGGCTCTAGGGGTACCATAGTCTTGAGTAATGCTCTCTATCGTGAGGCTGTTTTTCTTCTTTCCTTGAAAATCTTGTTCTTCGCCCATTTTCATGCCCTTTAAAATTCAGAAGATTTAGAATTTTTAGTAAAATTAGGATTCTATAATGTAATCCAGTTGTTTGTGAATGCACAAGGAAGTAAATACAGCTACAAAAAAACTGAAAAATAAAATTGAGAGATAACCTGAGATAATTTGTTGCCGGCTAGTTCTTTTTCATTACTTGGAATTAAACTTCGTCCTGAACCTGGAAAACACGAAAAAAGAAAAGGAAAATATAGAATTTAATAACTGTGTGATTAAAGAGCATACAGTTCATATTAAGGGGGAGGAAAAAAATGAAGAGAGAGAGAAATTCTTCATGAAATGAATATGTTACCCTAAAAACTTACTTGATATTGGAAATGCATTAGTCGAAAGAAAATGAGTGTACGCTATAAGAAAAAAGAAAACTGTATGATAAATCTTCATCGTTGCTTTTCCAATATAAACAAAATGTTGGTGGTGATTATATAGAGATGAAAAGAGAGAATTAATTGAGAATAAAAACATTTTTGAAGTCAACCGTCTTTATTTCAAATACGGTTGGGTAGAGATTATGTCTAGAACTCTCGAAAATTAATACATATTGTTTACTTTTCATTAAAAAGGTAATTATATTTTTACCGTACAGATTTTTTTATTATTTTTTTTTTTTTGGTTTTAAGACCACTTTTAATTGTTAAGGTTTCAATATTTGTTCATTGTCTCGCCTATAGTTTAACATGTTTTATATCGCATTTTTATCTTCAACCTTTCATTGTCATGTAATTCATGACGACATTTTCCTTCTAAAAAGTCGATCAGCAGGACATATAAAATTATTTTTCTCCTCATATTTTTAAATAATAGAAATAGAAAAGTGCGATAAAATGTTATGACAGATATTGTTATCTTGGATGTGCTAATATTAGAATGAAAGATTAATGATAATTAAGAATACAAAAAAATGTCCACAAATGTGACAATGAGAACCTTTAGCATAATTAAAAAGTATTATCAATATAACCACTCTTACTAAAATTGCCAATTTTCATATGATTTGCCTAAAGAAACACATCCCATCAATTTTATGAACTCGAACACGTCAATGACTTATTCAGTCAAAATATCGAGTTCATCTAACCACAAATCAATTAAAAGTTCAAATAAAAATAAATAATAAAATGCACTCTATTTTTTTTTCAAATTAAGCTGCATTATAAGTTTAAAATATGAATAATGTTATTTAATCCATGTTTGGCGGGGATTAAAATTGAATTTTTAGTAATTAAAATTAATTTTTGATTTTGACTTAAATTAAAATCTTTAGTTTAATTTTCACCAAACTGGAGCTTAACATCAATGCTACTAAAACACCAAGTCTAGATATTTTGTCCTAAAGTTGTTTCCTCAACTATCCAACTAATACATTTTTAACACATCAACACATCATATTTTTCATAGCAAACGAAAAGATGTTAAACAAAATGTTGTAAAATGAGGACATACCTATTGATGTTACTATTAGTCATTTGAAAACACATATTTTATTTTTTGAAATATATTGAGAAATTAGATTTGAATCTGACAAGATTACTGCTAAAGAAATTGTTATTCCAATGGAGGTTGAACATACATTTCTTGAAAGAAGCATTTTCATGAAAATTTCAATGTTGAGATAACAAATTCAGTTGAAAAATCTTTTAGAGTTGATTGATTCCTATATATGTTGATCAAGATTTTTCTTCGCTTGATTTAAAGTCTAAACAATTTCAAAAAATATAAAAATATTTTTGGATTTTTGTTTGATTCTAATAAAATGGAAGATTGTAGATTATGATAATTTGAAAGTGTTACTATGATAAGTTTGGAAAAAAATTTGAAGTACAACAGAAATTCAGATATTATGGACATATTTTGAGCTGTAAATTTGAGAAATTGTTTGCTAGAAGAGACCAAAAAGACAATTGAAGTACTAGACTATATTAAAATAATGAATTGTTGTTTTTCAAATGTGTGAATTGCTTGTCGAATATTATTGAGAAAAA